GTGTTGCTCATTTTTCGGGGTAATTATTTAACTGGAAAAAAATTTATGCCTCCTTGTCTAAGATTTATGCTAAGTGCTGGCACTTCATTGTCCACTTTTGGGCCGCTTGCATACACGCTGCTTCCTGCTTACCGCTTCCAGTTTTCATACATTACTTGTGTTGTTTCCTGGAAAATTTCGATACGCATTTTTAATACATACCTGATTTGTCAACATCTTATCAGATTAGTTTGCAATACTGTGGGAGATTCAGACCGTTTAGTTATGACGTGGTTTTGTAACAAGATTTTGAGCAGGAAGGAGTTCTTTTATGCGACTAACAAAAAACTCTCGTCTAGAAATAAACACCGGTTATCTCTTGACTTTGCATGAATGTGAGTGTACCGGCTTTTGTCGTATCGGTTATTTTTTTTCTCCTTGATAATGATCAAGCTTTCGCATGAGCTTATCAATGCATGTCATTATCCATTGAATTCAATTTTGCATGATGCTTTGGAATTCATTCATTAGTGTCGAACATCAAGCTAAACTGTAATTCAAAATGGCAAATTTGAATGAACGTACCTGTTAACTGGACCCAAAATGCTCATTATTGGATCAAGCTGCTTTCTCAGATTTCAATCCATTGTGGCATGACACGTAATACAAAACTCGTTTTTTGAGAGCATCTAGCATTTGCCTATTCATTGAATTTCATCAACGTGTTGACCATTTACTTTCACCTGACCCATGCAAGTAGCCTTTTGTAAGGCGCCAGAAGATGGTTTATGATCAAGGTATCATTTTAATTTAGAGCACTTTACTGTGCCGATTTATTCCGTATGAGACTTAGGGTATCAGTTATCCTAAACTGATGGCTTCTTTGGGACGGCGGTATTGCTTTGCCGATGGAAATCTGCGGAAAAGGATTATTTTCATTTGTAAAGCTAGTTCAGTCCCCTAAAGATACATCACTACTTATCACGCATAACTTTTATTGGGCGCCCTTAGAATCATCCATCTTAGTGATTAACGGTGACGCGAACGAATATATTTGTCTTCAGATTGATAACCCCTGCATCTACTATTACCTTAGGGCTGTATGTCGGCGGTTACGGATGAACTGAACTCGAACCTTTTTATAATCTGTGTGGTTCTTCTCGGTCTCGCAGTTGTTGAGGTAAGTTAGTATCCTCCTCCTTCCCACATCTGCACATTCCATAAGTGCGCTCTTCGTTGTAAAGGTTTGTAGATCTAG